GAAATTTTAATTTCAGAAGAGCTATAAATAACACCAATAACCCATGACAAGTGGATCCTTGTCACCACGGGATAGTGAGTCCCTGGTTTTGGGATGGGGGAAATGGAGCATAGAGAATTAGGATGAAGCAGTACGAACTGGATTAGTGTGGCTCAGGAAAGGGATCAACGGAAGGCTCTTGTGAACACGGTAATGAACCTTCGCGTTACGTAAAATTTTTGAAAAATTCTTGAGTAATTGAGCTATTGCCTGCTCCTCAAAAAGGACTGGGCTACATGGAATTAATTAGACACTAATAACGCTTTGGCAGGGTTTCGAATTTTTGTTTTAATTGGAAAGAAGGTTTCTGAGAAGGCTAATACGACTTTATGTGGGGGTGGGTAGGTACGGCTCTGCTTGTAATGACTCTCAAGGAGTTGCTTTTGACAAAGCGTTACGTATTTATGCTCCATCTATCCAATGTTAACGATGTTAATGGCCTCAACAAAATTATACTCAGAGCAAACACATGAAAGGAACGTAAGGTTTTGAAATATAAGTTTGAAATTTTGCCTCAGCAAGAAAGTATTACATTTAATATATTTATATATAGCTATCTCTGTAACAGGCCGTGGAGGTCCATAGGGATGTGAGAGGTTGAGGTTCCCACATTTCCTAGACAATCGGCTCACAGATGGTGCTAAGGATATCAGGCTCACGCAGGTTCACTCATACGCCATCCTTAATTTCTTATATGTAACTTTAAAGATTCGTGACACTAAATTTATGTAATTCTGAAGCTACATGAATGTATTGCAGATAATTTATAATTATCGTGTAAGTCTGAATTTAAGGCGACCCCATATTTTTTCTAACGAGAAAATCAGAAAGAGGAAGTTCTGGGAAGAACTATTCGCCCATGTCGTTACAAACGGATGCACAGACAGACAAGAAGATGATCTCATAAGTCTGATCTTAAATTTTCAAAATGAGGAAATTAGGTTAAAATCTCGCAAGATTGTCTATGTCGGTTATTCCTGAGGACTGTAAGCAAAACAAATTAAAAACTACCCTCCTTAGAAACAACAAATTGAAAACTTAATACCTTCAATAAATTCTAATTCTTTTCATAAATATCATTATAATTAGCAATTAAAACTCCCCACCATAACCTTTCCATATTCATTTTTTGGGGGGTAAAGTAAATGTAAAATTTTTCTTGTGCTTAACTAATTAAGCACTACTTCACGAAGGCGTATGGGGGAGTGGATGTATAAGTACACACTTTCTTGGCCTCGGCGCTAGGTGGAGGTGAGTGGTAATCTTCACGCCCCTACTGCTTTACACTTGGAGAAACAGCCCCATATACCCAATGGATCGAAGGTTGAATGAACCCCAGAGCCAGTCTGGACGACTCAGAGAAGAGAAAATCTTTGACTTTACCGGGACTTGAACTTCGAACCCTCGGTCGTCCAGTCCGTAGCCAGGCGCTATACTGACTACGCTATCCCGGCTTCCATATTTATTTTAAGGGCCCGAAAATTAGGCGACTTCTCTTTTCTAAGAAGCAATATTTTAAAAAAGAACCTAGCCTTATGGCTTCAATCTAGTTACAAAACTGGGCGCTATGGATTTCGCTCCACCGCCAAGCTTTAATCTTACATTCTAAAAAATGTCCGTAAAAAGTTTTCATACGCTTCACAACTTGCTAACACAATTTTAGGTTCCCATATAACGGATTTATTGTCCCCCTTACGTTTCAAGTCTCCAATAGTCACATTATATTGGAGACTTATGAAAATGGGGTGTCCTCTAAGGCACCACGTCCATTTTTCTTCATGAATATTACGTCTTATCGTTTTTAAAAGACGCAAAGACATTCAAACAGACGTCAATCTCCGTGTATTTCCTATAGCTTCAAAATGTGTAAGCATCAAAAAAGCAATTATAATAGAGAAAACGGAAACCACATAAAGGCGATGGAGAACAAATTTGCTTCATTGTGGGCCAATTCTGAAACGACTCTGAGGTCCGGAATAATTTATCGATAAAAATGGTTTTAAAATTATACTGACATAACATTAAACTTAAGATATGACTGTACTGTACTCAGTTTCTGAGATATTACTCCGCGGCACAAAATTCCCAGGAATGTAAGGACTTCGTTCAATTTATATTGCCAGAAACCGTAGAAATATTTATTTGAATAATTTTCGATAATAATTTTATATATTGACGTGTATAATTTGTTAATTATCCTGCAGTATATTCGACGTATATTAAGGCCTCTATTGAAGTTCAAGACCCCATATTATCACTACACAAATTAAGTACCCAGAGTCATCATTAATACATATGGCAAGCATCGAAAATACAGTTAGTCCTACATATATTCTTAATCTCTGGATTAGTTGAAGAAGAGTTACTAGCTTCAGGCTCTGTCTATTTTAACTGCAGAGAATAATGCAATACTCCCCTTTGTCCATTGTATGGGAGGCTCTATGGCCTATAGAAGCAGTATAGATGTTTTTGAGGGTTTCACGGGGGTAAATATGAAGAATGCCGTCTTCTGGGATATGGCGCCGTGTACATATTTTGTTAACCAACGTTTCGGAGAAACGTATCGCCTCCATCTTCAGGGTATAAGAAATCCGCTAGCGATGAAGGCGATACGTTCCTCCGAAACGTCTGTTAACAAAATATGTACATGGCCACACACACAACCACACACACACCAGAAGACGACATTCTTCAGTACAGACGTTGTTTACAAGGTAGGCCCAGTTTTGCAAAAGATCGAATCCCGTTTATCCAACCCACAGTCAGTCACTAAGTTGACTGAGTTATCAGAAAATCTATCCACTTTATGTCCAGTTTATTTATAAATGTAAGTAATTTTTCGATGATACAATTGGAATGGACTTCATATTTCGAGATATCTTTCGGGATAAAAAGCCGTGTAGTTCGGCGAATCTCAACCCACGTTTCGGAGGAAACATGTGTTGACTTTCATCGGACTACAGGGCGTTTTCTCAGGAGACAGAGTTCTTCATAGTCACAACTGTAAGCATTATAATCCAAACACTTTAGTATCGATCTGTTAACGTTAGAAGAGTCAATGTTAATGTATGAAATCGAACGTAATAGAAAATGTACGACTTGTGCATGGTCTACATCAAAGACGCACAACATGAGACATGAGAAGAGTTAAAATTAAATAACATATATGTTGTCACGTGATGCAGTGACTATAGAAGGGGTTTGGATTGGTAGTCGGATTTACAGGACTCTTAAACAACCCCTAACTACAAGTTAGGATTATGCTGTCATCGTTCTGCATACTTTAAAATCCACTATGGGACACACTGTGTTTTCACAATCTGTTAAAGTCTTCACTAGCCGTTGCTTGGTAGTAGCTTCAGCGGCGAACATTCCCCTTCCACTGGGTTCCATAAATGTCACCGTTCTTATCCACCAGCTTCTCACAACGACAGAACCCCAGGAATTAAATAACTGACCCCTAATTTGTCCTGCTTACAACATTTCGGTATGGACCGCTTACAGAACACTGTTTCTCTCTTGCAGTGCAATTTTTGCTTATCGATTACATGACGAATTCCACTGTTACGTGCTCAACTATCGGCTGCGCAGAAAACACAATTTCTGTGTTTTTATTAACGGGCCGCTGCCAAGTAACGGCCGTCTATTATGATTCCACAGTTCTTGCTTTGAGCGAATGTGCCACACTATTAATGTATAGAATATCCTGAATGTCAGTCAAAGATGCAGAAGCCTGTATTCCCTTAACAATTAATTTCATAGTGTGACGTGGATAGCGCAACGGGAAGTAGGGGTCACGTGAACTCTGCGGTCTCGCGAGCGGCGTCACATACCCCACCCCTTCCATTATCACTCACCGCTCGGTAAACACCCCGTCGCCTCTCGCGGTGACGTAACAGAGGAGGAACTGTTTCAGGCAACCACTGCCACGGTGACGTGACATCACTTCCCACAGTGACGTAACAAGGGATGCCGCGGTTACTACACTGCAGTAAACAAATCTCGACAGTGTTGCTAGGCAACCTGTAAACACGGCATCACGCAACAGTGGTACCTATCACTGTTTTCTGTGTTGTCCGTGCCGAGCCTAAATAAGGAGCAGCGAACACTATTTAGTAGTGAGGATTGAGCCAGTTATGAGTGAGCTAGTAGTGAGTATTGAGTAACCAGTGGGTTGCAATCTATCAGTCGCCGATTCGGGTTGTATCGAGTGCATGGCAGTGACTACACCAGGAGAAGTGTGATACTGCCGATGGAAGTAGTTGAGAAGTTGTGAATTGTGTAATTGTAAGAGCGAGTGGAGAAAATTCGCTTGATCCAAGACGGTGTGAAGTTATTTGTCGCGTGTCACATACCCAACACGTGACAATATGCTGAAGAAATAATTAACTGAAAATAAATTTAACTCAAAACGTTTCTGTCAGCAAGTTTCCAAGTACTTTCCTTTCGAGGTTCGCGACATGTCTAATCGATACTCGATTTCAGACCATCACTAGAGCTACTGCTATTGCAGCTGCGGTGATCTATTCGTTTCCTCGTAAGTCATTCGCCACCTGCCCCGTACGCACATCCGCAGTAGATGTCCTTAACAAGACGTGACATTCGTGTTCTCGGAAGCCATGAATCAAGTTCTGGGCAGCGGACTGTAAGGTGAGATCCCACTAACTGACATCCTCCATTTTTTCTTGTAGACTTATGTCCAATATGTCCATGTTTATCGGAGTACTCGGCAGACGGCCAACGAAAATGTCGGATAATTGCAGCTTTTGATAACAGTAATTCCAGAGGTGGGCTAAACTTTATTATTGACAGGATAGCTGACGTGCTGTGAAAGGAATCCAGCCTGAAGTTTGCTTACAGAAATATTTCGAGATGAATTTCATTTCAATAATTTTTTTAGCCTAATTTCCTTATTAATAAATAATAATAGGCAGCTCGAGAGATGGCCTTTCTCTCTGTCTGTGTATTCGTCTGTGTCCCCCTTCCTTCTATTTTTTTAAGATTATGAGGCTTATGTGATCACTTCGATGTCTGTGTTTCTGTATGTATCCCTTATTGTTGGTAGGCAAAGAGTCGTTTGTGTGCCTGTCTCTCCCCATAATTTTTTCTTTTTCCATAGGTCCGAGTTGTATCAAAAGAAAAATAGTCGGTTAGATCTTCCCAGAAATTCTCGTATAGTGATTAAGAAAATACAGCCTCCCAAAACCTTGGAGCAACTTTCGAGACACTCTTATATGTTGGCACTGTAGCTATACAAACATACGTGTACACAAACAACATAACTGAGGAATATAAACTAAGGTCAAGGAGTAACTGGAAGAAAGATGTTTAGAAATTCTCAAGATCAAGCTAAGGAAAACGGACACAATTTTTAATTAATGATCAACCACTTGAAAGAATAATACTGAGTATTATTAAAATAAATTAAAGTTAATTAAAATTAATTAACGGCCTACTGTTTTCCTTGTGATCATCGTCCATTCGTTTAAAATATATTTTCTGGGGTATCTTCTGTTTTGGATTTATTTGTGCAACACTCCATTCCGGTTGGGGTATTGTCTATAATGTACAAATTATGTGTTGTGTTCTACAATTATATTTCTAGATTTACACATATTAATGTTATTTGTAGTTGTACTTGTGTGCTATTTGTGCAGCTCATAAGGATGTTGATGAAGTGTTATTATCAGTTTTGTTATCTACAATACGTACATCATGGATGCTTAAATACAATATTATAAAATATAATAATACATTTTTGCATAACTAATTTTGTTAAAAATTCTAATTTGTATTTGAAATACAATACTCCGAGCGATTCGACAGCACCAACACATCAGTACTTTAATTAGTTCGAATTATCGAGTTTACACTGTAGTCCTTAATTACAGATTCTGTGTTTACGGCGAGCATGTATGTAAGTAAGTAAACTTACCCTGTAACTGGCCGTGGAGGCCCATAGGGTTATGAGATGTTGAGGTTCGTGACTTTGAATTATCCTAACTGTCCCCAGTCCTCTTTCACTAGATCAGCCCCCTTTTCAGCTATCATAACTGTTGGTGCATTAGTGTGAGCCCTTGGAACAACGGGCATTATCGAAGAATCTATAACTCTTAATCCTTTAATACCATACACCCGCAACCTGGGATCTACGACAGCCCCTTGGTCAGACGCAGGTCCCATTTTACAGGTTCCTGACACGTGAAACATACTGCATGTGAGATGTTTTATGATGCACCTCCAGTAGTCATCGGATCTAAAGGCAAATTGTTCGCAACCAGGCACTGGGACATCATGCAACTTGGAACCAAATTTCTGAAACGCTTCAGTTTCGCTCAGGTCTACAGATAATTTCACTCCTTTTAGTAATGTCTCCAAGTCATCTGAATACTGAAGGTAATTGTGAAATATAAGAGGCTTGTGTAAGGGTTTGTTATCTTTCAACATGATTCTTCCTCGACTTTTAGGTGCTAAAAGAGTTGGTATTATCATCCATGCGTGTGATTTCTGAATTGGTTTATACGTCCTTTCGTAAATATAATCACTGATACCAAATGTCTTCCTTAAAGTTGGATCAGAAACAATTGAACCTCCTATGAAAATTAATTCTATATCTGGATAACCTTTGATACCCTTGAGATTCTTAGTATCATAAAACGCTATCGCTTCGACTCCTCCCGCGGTAGTAAGAGGACCCTCGTGATATCGAAAGTAATCTATAAGGTCTTTGCCATTTTGAAACACCATGTCAGAGCGCAAAGAGACGCTTTCATTTACCAGAAACGTGATCCCAATCACCGCCATGTGATCCATAAGATTGTACCCCACCTTCAGATCCTCAATGACAGGAATGTTCATATCTTCGAGATGTTTCTTGGGCCCTACACCAGAGAGCATCAGGAGATGCGGAGAGTTTATTCCACCTGCTGATAATATTACTTCCTTTCTGGCATGCACCACGTATCGTTTCTTATTACGAATATATTCTACGCCATATGCCCTTTTAGTGTCATGATCTATCAAAATCTTTGTTACATAACTTCGCTTACTAACATGTAGATTCTTTCTACCACGAATTGGGTGCAAGAAAGCCCTAGAAGTACTCCACCTAGTGCCGTTCTTGGTTGAGGTTTGAATGAAGCTGAACCCGGTCTGTGTTTCCGCGTTATAATCAACTATTTGATAACCTGTCTCTATCCCAGCTTGAAGAAAAGCTTCTGCCAAGGGAGTGCGGTAAGGAGGGTAACTTATTGTCATATATCCTCCTGTAGAATGGTACTTCGTGTTCTTTGCCAGTTCAGGAATAGCAATATCTTCGGATTTGAGGAAATATGGCAGAACATCTTCGTATCCCCAACCAATATTCCCCATATCTTCCCATAAATCATAGTCTTTCCGACTCCCCCTGTTATGTATCATGTAATTCAAAACACTGCTACCGCCCATGACCTTTCCACGTGGAAACAAACACTGTCTATTCGTTAAACCAAGACACGTTTTGTTTGAAGGCACGCCTTTATAATTCCAGTTGGCGTCCGTGAACTGAAGCAACATAGCAACGACAGGTATGTCCATTATGTAGTTCTCTTCCCCTCCTGCTTCCAGTAGAAGTACGTCCCACTGTGACACTTCAGTCAGGCGATTGGCAACCACACATCCAGCCGAGCCTGCACCCACAACAATAAAATCGTATTCAGGTAGGATGTTGACTTCATCCCTGGGCTCTTCTGAAGCGTGTTTAACCATCTCCATAGCATAGTTTAACATATGTTCCGTAAATCCCCAATTCGGGTTACGGGCGTATGCACCGCGGAGGGCAAAAGCAGCTACAAGGAATAGGAAATGAGTTGAGCTCTTCATAATTATTATTCCAGTTATCGTGGAATTCTGAAAAGAAGCAAATTTACTAAATCAACAGATGAGCAACATTGACTTGAAAGTAAGAGATAATGCTCACTATCTCTGAGATGGTTCCAGAACCGGACATCAGTTAGACAGTCCGGTAATATGATATTGAGGCAGAGAACCTGTTAACATTTGGACTCTAGATTCGTTAATTTCCACAACTCTCTCCTCTCGCTCCCACTTTGGAGCACAGGGTTGATTTTTCAGTTTCTTGAATATTTTACAGACGGTAGGACTCCTTGGACGGGGATCAGCTCGTCGCAAGGTCTCTACCTAAACACAGGACAACACAAACACAAAAAAAAAACGCATACACAAATCAAATATCCATGCCCTGACTGGGATTCAAACCCACGATCCCTGCTTTTCAAGACCAAGACCGCGCAGTCATTTGGATAGGTCACATGTTGACAGCGTCATCTAAATTACAAAAAAAGTTACTTCTCTGACAGGTAATATTTATGAGATGTTATGACCTAATCCTGTCCCCACGTTCTTCGTTCAATTAGTCATTGTGAATATTAGTTTCGTAGACTGTACAACCAGGAAGAATAATGTTGCGCACGCAGGAGATGAATTGCCTGATGTTTATTCACCCATCTGAAGGATGCAGACGGTATGCCAGCAACAGCCGTTTGCATCCGTTGCATCCAATGCGCGCGCACGTGTGCAATAAAAATGAAGCAGAGGGAGTGAGAAAGAAAGAAAGAAAAGAAAGGAAAGTAAATGAAGAAAGCGTATTAAAGGGGAACACGTTAGTTAGAGACCTACAAATGGGTGGAGTGACAAATACTGAAGCTGAAACACG